AACCAGTGACTTCCATAGCAACCAGTGACTTTCCATGATAACCAGTGACCTCCGTAACAACCAGTGACTATCCATAGCACCCAAAGACTTTCATGGCAACCAGTGACTACCCTTAACAACCAGTGACTCATATACCAATTACTGACTTTGAATTGCACCCATAGACTTCTTCAACACCCAGTGGCTTTTCAAAACTTGCAATGACTTCCCATAGTTACCATTGACTTTCAAGAAATAGTAACATTTGACTTCCATAGAAACAACTGAATGTTCATAGCAACCATTGACTTCCATAGCAACCGATGACTTTCTACAGCAACCATTGACTTCCATAGCAAACTGTGACTTCAAATAGGAATTAATGAATCTGATAGCAACCATTGGCTTTCCAAAGCAAACATTAACTTTCCATAAGGACAATTTACTTTCAATAGCAACTGCTTGCTTTCCACCATAACCATTGCTTTCTATAACAACCTTTGTTTTAACACAGCAACCAGTGACGTTAGCAGCAAATGTTTACTTTTCTTAGCAACAAGTGATTCTACCATTGAACTCAGTGACTTCCAAGAAAAACACTGACTTTGTATAACAACCAGTGAATTCCTAAGTAACTACTGTTTTCCCATAGCAAAAGCAGCCAGTATTGTGTTTACACATGCACTATTTCCAAATATGAACTTTATGATGTCAGTTTCAGATTTAGATTTTAAATCTGCTTTTGCTTATAGTTACAGAACAGATTTTTCTTATATGCTTAAAAAGCAATTTCTTCTCTCAAACAACAAGACCTTAAGCTTAGTTTTTAGCTCACCTGACCACGAAGTGGTCAAGGTGAGGTATAGTGATGGGGCTATGTCCGGCGTCCGTCGTCGTGCGTCGTGCGTCGTGCGTCGTCAACAATTGGGTTGTTAACAGTCTAGCAGTCACAGTTTTGATTGGATCATCATCAAACTTTGTCAGAATGTTTATCTCAATGAAATACAGGTCGAGTTCGAAGATGGGTTATCTCGGGTCAAAAACTAGGTCACAGGAGCTAAAAATAGAAAAACCTTGTTAACACTCTAGAGGCTGCAGTTTTCATCCAAATATTCTGGAAATTTGTCAGGAAGGTTGTTTTAATGATATCTAGGTCAAGTTCGAAGATGGGTCATCTCCGGTCAAAAACTAGGTCACAGGAGCTAAAAATAGAAAAAGCTTGTTAACACTCTAATAATTGGGTTGTTAACAGTCTAGCAGTCACAGTTTTGATTGGATCATCATCAAACTTTGTCAGAATGTTTGTCTTAATAAATACAGATCGAGTTCGAAGATGGGTTATCTTGGGTCAAAAACTAGGTCACAGGAGCTAAAAATAGAAAAAAGCTTGTTAACACTCTAGAGGCTGCAGTTTTCATCCAAATATTCTGGAAATTTTTCAGGAAGGTTGTTTTAATGATATCTAGGTCAAGTTCGAAGATGGGTCATCTCCGGTCAAAAACTAGGTCACAGGAGCTAAAAATAGAAAAAGCTTGTTAACACTCTAGTGGCTGCAGTTTTGATCCAAATATTTTGGAAATTTGTCAGGAAGGTTGTTTTGATGATATCTAGGTCAAGTTCGAAGATGGGTCATCTCCGGTCAAAAACTAGGTCACAGGAGCTAAAAATAGAAAAAGCTTGTTAACACTCTATAGGCTGCAGTTTTCATCCAAATATTCTGGAAATTTGTCAGGAAAGTTGTTTTGATGGTTTCTAAGTCAAGTTCGAAGATGGGTCATCTCAGGTCAAAAACTAGGTCACAGGAGCTAAAAATAGAAAAAGCTTGTTAACACTCTATAGGCTGCAGTTTTCATCCAAATATTCTGAAAATTTGTCAGGAAGGTTGTTTAGATGATATCTAGGTCAAGTTTGAAGATAGATCATGTCGGGTCAAAAACTAGGTCAAAGGAGCTAAAAATAGAAAAAGCTTGTTTACACTCTAGTGGCTGCAGTTTTGATCCAAATATTTTGGAAATTTGTCAGGAAGGTTGTTTTGATGATATCTAGGTCAAGTTCGAAGATGGGTCATCTCCGGTCAAAAACTAGGTCACAGGAGCTAAAAATAGAACAAGCTTGTTAACACTCTAGGGGCTGCAGTTTTCATCTAAATATTCTGGAAATTTGTCAGGAAGGTTGCTTAGATAATATCTAGGTCAAGTTCGAAGATGGGTCATCTCAGGTCAAAAACTAGGTCACATGAGCTAAAAATAGAAAAAGTTTGTTAACACTCTAGTGGCTGCAGTTTTCATTCAAATATTCTTGAAATTTGTCAGGAAGGTTGTTTTGATGATTTCTAGGTCAAGTTCGAAGATGGGTTATCTCCGGTCAAAAACTAGGTCACAGGAGCTAAACATAGAAAAAGCTTGTTAACACTCTAGTGGCTGCAGTATTGATTCAAATATTCTGTAAATTTGTCAGGAAGGTTGTTTTGATGATTTCTAGGTCAAGTTTGAAGATGGGTCATCTCAGGTCAAAACTAGGTCACAGGAGTTAAAAATAGAAAAAGCTTGTTTACACTCTAGTGGCTGCAGTTTTGATTCAAATATTCTGGAAATTTGTCAAGAATGTTGTTTTGATGTTTTCTGGGTCAAGTGCTAAGATTGGTCATGTCTGGTCAAAAACTAGGTCACAGGAGCTAAAAATAGAAATTTTTTTTTAACACTCTAGTGGCTGCAGTTTTGATCCAAATTTCCTGGAAATTGGTCAGGAAGGTTGTTTTGATGATTTCTAGGTCAAGTTTGAATATGGGTTGTGTCCAGTCAAAAATTAGGTCACATTGCCCAAATATGGAAAAATCTTAACAACACACTATAGGTCACATGTTTGACTCAGTCGCATCAAACTTGGTCATGATGCTTGTTTAAGACATTGCTTGGATGCGGTTGTGTCAGGTGAGCGATCCAGGGCCATCATGGCCCTCTTGTTTACATAAAACATTAACTAGTAGACTTTCCATAGCAAACATAAACTTCCATAGCAACCAGGGACTTCCCATAGCAACCAGTGTCTCACATAGTAGCCATTGACATTTCATAGCAACCAAAGACTTCTTTAAGGCTAAATGACTTGCCATAGCAACCATAAACTTCCCATAAGAACCAGTGCCTTTCCAAGGCAACCATTGATTTTTCTATAGCAACCAGTAACCACTTTTGCAACCTGAATTTCCATAGCAGCCACTGACTTCCATAGCAACCACTAACTTTCCATAGCAATTAGTGACTTTCCTTAGTAACCATTGACTTCCATAGCAACCAGTGATTTTCCAAAGCAACCAAAGACTTCCAGAGCAACCATCTTCCCATAGCAACTATTAACTTGCATAGAAACCATAAACTTTCCATGACAACCAGTGACTTTCCATGGCAACCAGTGACTTCCCTTAACAACAAGTGACTCACATAGCAACCATTGACTTTAAATTGCAACCACAGACTACTTGAGCACCCAGTGGCTTTTCATAACTTCCAGTGACTTCACGTGTACCATTGACTTTCAATAGCAACATTTGACTTCCATAGCAACAAATGAATGTTCATAGCAACCGATGACTTTCTACAACAACCATTGATTTCTATAGCAAACTGTGACTTCAAATAGCAATTAGTGAATCTGATAGCAACCATTAACCTTCCAAAGCAAACATTTACTTTCCATAAGGACAATTTACTTTCAATAGCAACTGCTTGCTTTCCATAATAATCATCAACCTCTGTAGCAACCTAGGATTCATAGCAGTCATTGACTTTTTGTAGCAAACTATAAATTTCCATAGCAACCAGTGTATTACCTAGGAAACATTGATTTTTTAACATAGCAACCAGTGACTTCCATTGCAAACATTTACTTTTCTAAGCAACATATGAATCTACCATTGAATTCCATAGCATTCAGTGGCTTCCAAGGAAAACACAAATTTTGTATAGCAACCAGTGAATTTCTTAGTAGCTATGTTTTACCATAGCAAAAACCACCAGTAATGTTTTTACACATGCACTATTTTCAAATATGCACTTAAGATATTAGTTTAAGATTTAGATTTTACATCTGCTTACAATATTACTTGTTCCTTGTCATTAAGAGTACTTATATTCAGGTGAGCGATATTAGGGCCATCATGGCCCTCTTGTTGTAACTTACCAATCAAACCATTTGTTACAGAGAACCATTTTACAAAAATGCAATCATCCTTGAAGTCAGACATGTCATTAGTTTTGCATTACAAAAACACTTAAGTTGATATTTTGAATATACGTATTCTCTGCAGAACATTAGATTCTTTCATTTTTGGTATTTCAGCTTTGATTCAATGTTATTTATTTATAAAACATGGGTCCTGCCATTTTTGTCACCCGTAATACCTTAAAATGGTGAAAATCTTGTACATGTTCCTGGTTTCCCATTGGTTGAAAATAGAAACTGATTCATTTTCAAGAATATGAAAGCGGCCACTGATTGGCTAATTGGAAGGACACAAGAATGTAACCTCCAATTACTGACGGTCGGATTCATAAAGCATAGCATTATTTAAGAGCTGATTTTAATATCAGATTGGTATGTATCTTCTTATACATTAATCAAAATTTGCTAATAAATTTCTTTAGATTGTTTTTTTTTTGATGATGTATTATTCCCAGTAAGACTTTTTTTAGAGGAATGCTATTTTAGTGATACATTATTATGGAGAGGACTCATATGCTATCAGTATCATATGGAATAAATAAAAGCTGAAAATTGTGACTGATCATTTTTTAATGCAGTGTACATAAGTTTTCTCTTACAAAATCATTATGTATACAAATGATAAAAGTTTTACATTGGCTTTTTTCAAATTTGCATCAACAAAAACAAAATGTATATATATAATTTATTATGTATACATAACTGTATATGTCTTTTTTATGCAATTTCAAAATTTTCTTACTCAGTATCATATATAAAAATATTTTCTTATGGAAACATAAAACAGGAAACATAATTCAGTCATTTCCAATTTTAATCATTTCTAAATTCCTTTTTAATAAATTGTTTTATTCCTATTTAATTCCTATCCAATCTGTATTTTCAACTACTTGTCAATTCCTCTATTTTGCTCGGATCATTTTTCTCCATCAGTGTTGTGAAGTACTGGTAGCGTGCAGTCAGTGGGATATGTTTCCGAAAAATTAGATACTTGCTTTGTACAACATTACCTTCACTATCACAGCCACAACTTTTACCAAGTCGTGCAAATGAGAAAACATTACCTTGTAAAAGTTTTTCATAGAATTCAAACCCGCCTCTTTGATATTCCAATCCTAGATTAGCAACTTTCTCGTCAGCTTCTTTCTCCAGTTTCCAATTGTGATCTGTGACTAAGAGTTTGTATAAATGAGCACCTAACAAACATACCAACACACATGTCATAATACGCTGTTTATGTGCTCTTGATTTATATTTTCTGATGAGTTCTTCTATAGTTGTCTTTGATTTGTTATCCAGTCTTGCTATATGAATTTTCATTTCCTTCAAGTTATCAAGGGATGAATTAATTACGAAATGCATGAGCGACCCTGCTGCTATCAACCCAAGTCCAAGCAAAAAACGGAACATGACATAGCTGTCCTCAACATAGAATATTTCCCTTGCAAAAATAAATTTCTTCCCTTCACGAGACAGTATACAAAAATCAGCCATCTCTTCACTGCCAGGAGCTGAATAGTGTAAGAAAAATACATCCTTCGCATTACATCTAGTGCCGATAGGAAAACCTATGATAAATAAATAAAAAGAAGAAACATATAATTCTATAAGTAAATACAAAAATAATACAGAGTTATTCGAAAATAATTATAACATCTTTTTATGTTGTTCATTAGCAATAAAGGTAAAAGCTACAAGCTTACTTTCAGGCCGGTTAACTTTCAATGTATTTTTGACGGTAAGAAAATTGTGGCATATTTTTAAGACATGTTTACTTTTGAGGAACGCTTATAATTTATTTTTTAAGGTATTTTGATTACCTCAGTTTGAAAGTCTGGTCCTGAATATTGTTTTATCCAAGTTTAAACCAAACACTACAATTTATAACAAAGTTGTAGAAAATTTCATCATGTAAAAAGATCATTTAAACATTTAAATCATATTATTCACTTTAAGCAGTATGATGTTGTATGTCACTGGGTCCACTTTAATTCATATTTGTGCATAAATTATTAAGTTTCACGAATTCAAATAAGTTTTCATATTTGTCCTTGAGGGTTGTCAAGATTATACTTAAGTTACATTATATGAAGTGTTGTTAGGTCCATCTATTCATTATTAACAAAGATTTGGTCAACTTTTATAACTTGAATCATTGTCATTTAGTTTAAATTTAATTCAAATCAGTCTTTTAATAAGACAATTATGGCTCCAAGAATGTCCAATACTTTTGTAAATTTGTGTTAATACATATTTATCTCCTGTGACCTATTCATGCAATTGACAAAATCCTTTCCATAAATTTTGTTTGTTTGTTTCATTTTAAGCCTTTTCCCAACAGTATTTCAGTCATATAGGCGGGTTGGGTTGTTTCCTAACCATCGTTCCTGGAGAGTTACACCAGTACAAGACTACCTTCCTCCGCGCTAAACTACAAAAGCATCTCCCAGGGATCGAGCCCACGCCAGAGAGGTAACTGGATTAGAAGTCATCGACTCTAACCTCTCAACCACGGAGGTGGTTATAAATTTTGTAAAGGGTCATCAAATGATCCTTGCTGTAAGGTTTCTAAAAAATTTACCATGTTATTTAATATTGCTGTTTTAAAAAAAAGTAGATATTGACAATGAAGTTTGACTACAATTTACAGAACCTTTGAGCACTTTGTTCTTAATCAATAAAAAAATATCTATTAGATTTTAAAACAAATTAAACTCCTATGTAAATTTATACAGTCAATTTTTTACAATTGATTTACTTCATGATATCAAAAAACAGTTTTGCTGGTGTTAATGATTTAATATGATACTAACTGAGCACCTTGTTTTGTTGCCTTTGAATACGTAATAACAAGAGAATAATGAATCAGCATGTCAGAAGTTGCTTGTTGCTTATATGCAAAAAGTATGATTTGTTTTTATGTATGAAAGATCAAATGGCAGAAGGTTTTGAATATAGAAGTTTACAATATAAGTAATTTTAAACATATTTATTGAAGTGGTAAAAACATTTACAGCGTGAAAAGCAAATAAGGACTATTCTATGAAGTTTGCGTGCTAAGGGTCCATTGGTTGTCAAGTTATTGGTCAAAAACTGTTTTGACTGTCAAGGTCAATGTGACTTTGACCTTTGAGCCCTTGACCTTAAAATCAAAAGTGGTCATCTACAGCCTAAGACCGATGCTCCTATGAAGTTTGACTGCAAAGGGCCCATAGATTAAAGAGTTACTATTGGTCTTAAAACTGAATTTGTATACAAGGTCAACATGACCATGAAGGCACTGATCCCAAAATTAAGGGTCAAATAATGGCCAATATCAATGCACCTATTATGTCTTAGGGTAATGACCTTATGAGTTCTCAAGTAATTGATCAGAAACAATGTGGAATAACTGACCAATGCAGAAATGGACATCATGCGGCAAAAACAATATGCTACCTTTTCTTTAATAATTGTTTGAGGAGAAAATGTATTGCATTTGGTGGTTATGAAAACTGGCCTTGAACTAAGAACCTTTACCCGATATTAATTGAGTTAACTTATAATTCAGTCAATATACACAGAAAACTTTAGACTGTCTTCAGCTAAAAGTAGATGTTATTAGTCACTAGTTTTTTATGCCTTCAACACCTACCTCTATACAACTAGAAAAGAATCCTGCAAAAGTATTTTACCTATAATAGCACCCGTTGAAGAATTGCCTTTATGCAAATAACTTTGATATGCCATATTTGTCTGTAGAAACTCTATCCCTTCTTTTTTCACTGGTCTATCCTGATGAGCATTTATATCTCTTATCACCTGCAATATACATTACATCAACACATATTGTAACAATATTTGTTAAAATTACTGTAAGATTTTTGGCTATATGTACATGGTTCTGAGTAAACATGTGAAGAAATAACTATAATCTTGCTGCCACTATAGCCATATCCCCAAGAATATTGCAGCTTCATTTGATATCACTGAAGCTACTGCACATTAAGTCACTGTAGCTAAATATACTATATAAAAACCCATTGCAGCTTAATTATTTATTCATTTGTTGGTTTTTTAATAGTAAAAAATGATTGCCGGCTGACTAAGTGATTATCCTTAGTCCACAGTAAAAAGCATAGCCAGCCTGTACATCCTTGTAGTCAGACCAGGCTCTATACTGTTGTTACCTCAAATTTTATATTTAAAAACAGAAACCCCTTTTGAATGGACTGTTCCAAATTCAAAACAGGGCAAATCCATGAAAATTTTTCAACAGTTTAAGGCAGTATAGTAATAGTTTCAATAAACAAACTGAAAGTGTACCCTCTTACCTCATCTAACAAAGCTTCAGTCTCAGGTTCAGCTGATATACTTTTACAATAAGGACTTTTAGACTCTATGATTTTTTTAGCAAACTTCACACCCAATGTGTTTGGGACGTATGAACCAACTACCCAGCCTGCCATAATAACACCTGTACCAATTAACTGGTTCCGTAGATTGCTGTGAAAAATCTTACCAGCCTGTTGAAAGAAAACAAGAACAGAAATTACAACTTCATGTTTTGCTGTGCTAACCATTGTTTTCTGTCATTGATGCAGTTGGAACTGTGCATGTATCAATTTGAAAAGACTTCAAGACTTCACTGAGGTTTTTTTACATGACAGAACTAAAAATATTTTTCTTAAATTTTTAAAGCATTGATTAGTGATTATACCACTAATTTTAATATGTTCAAGGATTCATATCATTTTTCACTCAGGTTTCCAAACTATATGGAGCAAAATGAGAAAAATGGGTTAAAGACAGAAAAGGCTGGGTTGCAATTGTATACCAAATATCATGATGCTGTGATGTTACGAAAAAAAATTTACCACTGACCATTAATGTCGAAAATTTAACTAAGTCAGTTAACAGAAAGTGGATGAGCAACACACCTGAAATCGAATTCCACTGTATGGAACCACATGTAAATGCTGTATGCAAAATATCAAAAGGCTGTGATAAGTAGTTGCTGAGAAAACTGTTACGAAAATTTCCTACCAATGATCAATAATGTCGAAAATTTAACTAAGTCAGTCAGGAACTGGATAAGCAATAGACCTGATTTATCCTAAGGTATGGGACCACGTATCATTGCTGTATGCCAAATATCAAGAGACTGTGATAAGCAGTTGCTGAGAAAACTGTTACGAAAATTTCATACCATTAATGTCGAAAATGGGACCAACGTGAAAATGCTGTATGCCAAATAACAAGACGCCGTGATAAGTAGTTGCTGAGAAAACTGTTATGAAAAGTTTTTCCCCATCCGCCCGCCTGACATTCACCATACTATAACCTGGATTTGCACCAGTACAACCTGGCCAAAACTGAAAAGCTTTTAACAGAAATCAGGCTAAATATCTCACAAAATATCAATTTTTATCTTAATGCTGAGCATATTTCTTTACTATCTTTTGCATATTTTTCAGTTTTAAGAGCCCCAGTTGATACATATATATCTCAGATTTTTGGCTTTTGAACCGAAATAGAGCTACTTTAATTTATATCACATTAAGTTAACCATGGTGCAGGAGTATAATAAAGCCATTAAATAACAAGAGGGCCCTGAATCGCTCACTATATACATAAAGGGAAAAACAAGGACCCCCTGGAGGATGTTTCATGCTTATTATCTAAACTCTAGCTCTTTGGGTTTTTTAAAAGAAGATTTTTTAATTTTTTACTATATACAAATAAGGAAAATCAATGACCTCCAGGGCGGGGCCAATTTGGACCCCAGGGCTTTTATTTGAACAAATTTGGTAGACACTGACTAAACGATGTTTCATGCCAAATGTTTAAGCTCTAAATTTTTGGGTTTTTTTAAAGAGGATTTTTTAAGTTTTTTCTTTCAGTTGCCATGGCAACCAGAGTTCTGCATGGAATTAAATTCTTTGAACAATTTTAAAGTTCACTACCAAAGGAACATTCCTATGAAGTTTGGATGAAATTGGCTTAGAGGTTTATGAGAAGATGTCGTTTAAAGAAAAAGTTTACGGATGGACACCGGACGAAAAGCGATCACAAAAGCTCACCATGTCGCTTTGTGACATGTGAGCTAAAAACAATATTACACAAGTGCAACACAATTTGATGTGACCTCATTTGCAATACATACAAACATCGTGTACAAGTGTGCTATTAGCATTACACAATAGGCGCATCAATGAATAATGAAGTCTTTTAAACTGTAAACCATTCTTATTTTGTATATGGGATAAATAGAGTGTTGAATATGTGTAAATAGAATATTGTATTTAGGGTTCCAGCTTCGCTTGCCTAAGGCGTCAAATGTGACAAAATATTAATTCTGGCGCACAAAATCTTTAATTGGTGAATTTTACTGGCACTTAGTGAATTTTACTGGCGCTAACATAAGATGAAAGCATCCGACAACTAGTACATTTAAATATCAATAAGCGGCCGCATCAATTACATAAGCAGGCACAGTGGAAGCGCGGTGCCTAAAGTGCCTGGGGAAAGGCCTGTGGTGTAATAAATATCAAAATCAGACATTAAATCGCCCTTAACTAGGCTAAATTTCCATTGTTTCACCATAAGAGATATGACTTTATTTGAAGATAAGGGAAGATAAGGGAAACAACTCGTCTTTTCACTTGATATATCTTGGTTATTTACGTAGTTCATACAGAGACTGTCAACAGGTGTGGTAGACAGACGTTTCACTATTGAGACGGTTCACACCAAGAGGGTTCACAATATAACTATTTGAAATTTTGTAAACATGGACACAATAGGCAATTTTAATTTAAAGCATAACAATCTTGTGACAACAATTAACTTTGAGTAACATGTTTTTTTTTGTTGTTAATTTTAAACATGGGATAAAAAAATTGTTAAATTATTTAATGCTAGTATAGTGGTTTTGCAATATATGCCAAACATTTAAATTAAAATCAGAAATATCTTTAAATTAAATTAGAAGCATTGGGACTTTTTCAATATTTGTCATGTATAATCATTTTTTGACAGTATTCAGCATCAAAAATTATGGGATGCTTTTTCAAGAAATAAGATCAATGGAAAATTTCTAATGATAATAAAATCTATGTATGCAAAACTTAAATCATGTGTTAAAGTTGATGACAAACTTACAAGCTTCTTCTCATGTAATACCGGAACAAGGCAGGGCTGTGTTGGAAGTCCGATAATTTTTTCACTTTTCATAAATGATCTAGTTACTTTTCTGCATGAAAAATGTAATAGAGGTATTTTTGTATCCAATGATATTGAAGAGTTAATTGCTCTTATGTTTGCTGATGATGTGTCTAGCTTTTCTGACACCGTTATAAATCTACAGCAGCAAATAAATTATATTGAAGATTATTGTAAATCTGTTAAGATGAAGATAAACTTAAGTAAAACGAAAATAATTGTTTTTAGAAATGGCGGTGTTTTGAAACAAACTGAAAAATGGTTGTTTAATAATGAACCTATTGAAGTTGTTCCATTTTACAAATATTTAGGTGTATTTTTCACACCAAAGTTAGTATGGTCCAAAACACAAGAGATGCTTGCACTACAAGGACTAAAAGCTTCTGCTTGTATATTCAATTTTCAAAGACAATTTGGTCACATTGATCCTATTGATATGTTCAAAATTTTTGATTCAATGGTAAAACCTATACTGTGTTATGCGTCAGAAATCTGGGGTTATAATTATGTTGATAAGATTGAATCTGTACAAGTTAAATTCTGTAAACAATATTGTAACTTGTCACAAAATACAACAAGCTATTTTGCTCTTGGTGAATGTGGAAGATTACCTCTCTGTACTATCTATATGACAAATTGTGTTAAATACTGGTTAAAACTGACACGTATGGGAGATCATAGGTACCCAAAACATTGTTATTTGATGTTAAAACGACTACACGAATCTGGACGGAAAACATGGGCTGGCAACATTAAAGAAATGCTTTTTCAATTTGGTTTTGGATACGTATGGATCTCTCATGATGTCGGTGATGACTTAAATTTCATTAATATGTTTAAGCAGCGCTTATTTGATTGTTATTCACAAAACTGGCATAACGTTGTTGATTCTTCTCAAAAAGCATTACATTACAAGTAATTTAAGACTTTACTTAATGTTGAACGATAATTTAGTTTAGATTTAGCATAAAAGTATAGAAGAGCTTTTCTAATTTTTGCTGTTTATGTCATAATCTTATGATAGAGAAAGGTAGACATATTGGAATAGATAGAGATTTAAGATATTGCTTTCATTGCCTAAAGACAAACATTTATGTTATTGAGGATGAATATCATTTTTTCTTTGAATGTTCACTATATAACAATATCAGAGCTGTCTATTTTAAAGATACATGGTTACATCATCATTCCCACCATTTATTTTATTCTCTCATGTCATCAACAATAATAAATGAAGTAATATCTATTGCTAAATATATATATTATGCCATGAATGTAAGAAAGGAAGAGCTAAATACTGTATAATTATTTACAAATTCAATTCATTACATTTAGTTACAAATGTATTTTCAATTTATCACTCTACTGTTAGATTGTATTGTTGTACTTTGTATTTTGGGCCTGAGGCCTATATTACTAGAAATAAACTGAAACTGAAAAAAAAAAAAAAATTTTTGTGACTAAAATCATTATTACATAAACAAAACTTATGGAGAAGTATCTGTGTTTAAATTGGCTGTTGTCAAAAAATATTTTAATGGTCCAATAAACAACTGATTAGTAAACTGTTGATACTTAAGTGCAGTGTTTATACACTGATTTAATAGTGGTGTCAAACTGTTAGTTGATTGTATAAGTGTTTATACAACTAATTAGGCGATGAGCTAACTCAACAATTACTTAAGTTTGTTTAATGGCTACTGTTGAATAAATTGAAGAAAATAATTAAAAAAAATTATTTTATACACATATTTCGCATTTCATTGTTTATGACTTACAAAAAATAATCATTATATAGTCAATATATTTATATTTTTTATTATTTGAATAATATTAATCACTTTACAAGTAGTGATTTCAATATTTAAACTGATACATATAATATGTCTTTGTTGTTCTTTCTATGTTTTTTTTTTAATTTACTATAAATAGAATTTTCTCATGTTGTTACACTTATAATAAAAGTGATATTTTAGAAATTTGTCTTTCATTTACACCTCTTATCACTCTACCTATAATTAAATGAGTAATCTTCTAATAATTCGTATTAACAATATCATTGAAACAACAAAATGAAACATTAAATTAAATTTCCTTTTTTACACTGTTTGATATTTATGAAATTAAAATTTGTTAACTTTCCTAGTAAACATCTCTAAAAATTGGGAGTGAAACGTCCATACAATTGACAAAATGGGAGTGAAACGTCTAGGTGTGAACCGTCTTGGGAGTGAAACGTCTTAATAGTGAAACGTCTCGGGAGTGAAACACGGTGATAGGGCGATTACCACAACTTTTCCGCGCAACGTCAAAATATCTTACTTCTGTCCGAGACACCGTATATTTCTGTGGTACAAAATGGACAGCAAGTCTGTAACCGAGACGAAAACAGCAGATAATTTGCTAAAAACAAGGTAAAATCATCATTTTTTCTTTTTCATCGAATGTGCCATTAAATTTGAAACTTATTTATCCTTACTACATGCAAAATGCTTCATTAATTAAGTCAGGGTAGTGAAAACATTTAGGGCATACTGAAAAAAATCTTGCTTTGATTACGAAATATAACGTATTTCTAGTCCGTTCAGTTCATATAAATGGCCAAAATACAATATAAATATGTACATTGTTGTCGTATGAATAAGTTACAATACATAAATAACCCGTTTTTTGTATATTTGGTACGATTTTTATGTTTCCACGTGTGTATTTTAAGGCACCGCACAACTTTGTCAATCATAATATTAGGGCACCGCATTCTACCTCCTTAAAATCACCGCATTTTTCTGTTTTTTTAGCACCGTTTATTTTTGATATTAATGTTTGCTTTCAGAAAAAGAAGACGTTCAAACCTATGTCTGAACAAGCCAAAGCAACGTGCGAAATTTGCAAAGCTGCATATACTTCCAGAAGATACTGCAGCAACTGGAGAGCGCCCAACTAAGTCTTCTGATATCAGCAGTACGCCAATGGATCAGCGCCTCCCTGTAATTCAGGACGATATGCTTAACGCACCACATTAGAAAAAGAATATGAAGTCAAACTTTCGCAAAAGATTGTTTAATAAAAGCTCATTGGAGACCATGACTGAAGAGATTATGGAAATATTGCCCGGGTTCCTGCAAAACTACACCATGAAAATTTATGTTATGACTTTTGCAACTTTATCAAAATTAGTATGCAATAAGAAATTCCCATTAAAAAATATTTCATTCCTTTTTTTTCTCGATGTTGTTAGATGGTATAGTCTGCCAAGAACTTCAATCTTTCAATGTGGGGTTTATCAGTTTGAATAAGTTCGAAAAGGAAAAGACATCCTTATCTATATATAGATACCATTGCACTTATCTATAACTGGTAGTATTAACACAGATCAGACCTTCTGAAATTTTCCATAACATAACGTATGATAACAGCAACATAACGTAACAGCAAGTAAACAATCTTTCATCAAATGAAACATATTTGTATGAAGATTGCATAATTCAAAGAAGACGGTGGCCAGTATTTATCGGTCTAACGGAAAAAATGCGGTGTTTGAATTCAGTGTTGTACGGTGCTCCAATATTCGGGTCAGTAAGGCCTTTTTTCAACATATATTCCCTGAAATTTACGATAGAAACACACAATTTTGTATGGAACTTGAACTTAGGGTTAACCATAATAAATATACGAGCTCGTTAGGTCATAGAACAAAGACATCGTCGTTATAACACACGTTTTTGTGACAGGTACGAGTTATGTTGAGGTACACACGATCTTTTGTAAACACTATTTCTTCGAAGTATGTGTTTTTTTGTGAATTGTATTGTGCTAGATTAACGATAAATTGTCTAAAAATTTCGATGGAATACTTAAACAATTGGAATAATCTTGCAATGTCCAGCAGTAAGATATTTTGTAAGCTATAACCTGGAATTTGTTTATCCCGCCATTAATATTTTGTCCAGAAATATACGGTGTCTCGGTCAGAAGGATGGTATTTTGACGTTGCGCGGAAAAGTTGTGGTAATCGCCGTGTGAAATGTCTGACATTCAACAGGTGTATTGGGACGAACCATTGGGACTGCTGAAATTTGCTTTCAGACACAGAAATTAATGGTTGAGCACCTAGTATAAGTAGTTGGACCCCTTTCCATACCCATTAGACCCAAGAACATAGAAAATGATGTAAATCCCTGAAATCTTCTAGACTTACATAACTTCATAAGAAATGACTTTTACGTAACTCGCGTAAATAGGTGACAATTGTGGTTGTAACTAGAAAAAGACATCAAATGCACTGGTGATCAATCAGAAGAAAAGCAAATATTAACATGAATAGTTCTGTTTAGTGTTTTACCATAGCAAATATATAGTTTCGATGATTTGATCTTGATCCGTAACCATCTGACTCGTCCTCCGCTTTCAATAGTTTCGATTAATTTTTAACATGTAACTTTTACAGAACATATTCCAAATCGATTTCACGGGAGTTTGCAAAACAACATTATTAGAGTTGTAAGGGTATTTTGTCTAAAATTCCCGTTTGCTTCAGTGTTTTTATATAAAAAAAACAAGCCTGATTCATGTTTGCAATTTAGAATATATGTTTTCTTGTAAAAATATATAATACCTTATTTGATTAGCCAGTTTTCCATTCTTTTTACGAAGAATCGAACGCGCTCATGTGTCAAACACTTTTTCAGCACTGAAATATTTCGAGTTTGTCAGCTTCTTATATCAAGATATAATTATTAAGTAGAATGAATAAAAATATCCTTAGAGTAAGTTTGTTTCATTGAACTTTAGGTTTATTTTGCACAAGCAGTTTTACATGAAGGCAGTGCTTAAAATTGTATAAAGTTCGGACACATTCTTTTCGGATTTTCCTGCCTCTGTCAGAAGGGAGATCTACTAGTACTGATCATGATTAAAATGGCACAATATCTCAACTCATTGTACAATTTGACTACCCTTTTTATATGTGTATATTTTTCATGAGACCTTTTCACTTCTGTCTCAGCATTGAAATGTTGCACATATGATATGTCAATCACAACTCAATGTTGAATGATTCAGTCAAATTATGTAGAAAAAATCAAAATTCAGTTCATGTAATTATGTATATACATATATGCAGGGTCTTAGACCCTGATATATGTGATTAAAAAATATTGAAGAAATACAATAATTTAACAGAGCTCCGGATAATTTTTTTGGTCAAGGGGTTTTTACCCCTCAAAATCTAGATTGAGGGGTAAAATGCAAATTCTAAAAAACTTAAGGGGTAAAATCTGTCAAAAAGCATTTTGCATTCTTTTATAAACAAATTAAACTTATTGTACTTGTTTGTTTAATTATTTTATTTTTTTTATTTTCCAAAATGCGTATTTTAGATTTTCTATGCGTAATTTACGCTGATACGCAACACTATCTGGAGCTCTGCAATATTGTATCGTCCGGTCATGTGTTTTGACGCTCATCTATTTTGACACCATTTTTGTTTTGACCTAACAAATGACGAAAACGACCTCGCATGACGTCATAATTTGCTGACTGCACTGCAAGCATGTACTTACAACGTATAACTAAAACATGTGGAAAGACATAGACATTTCACTGAAAATACTTCACCTTTATCAAATTTACTGTATTTTTTCATCTTTTTACTAATGCAAATTCAATCGATGTTTATGCAAGCCATAATTTTGCAAATAAAGCCTTTGAAAAATCTTGACCTGCCCTTTTCTGTTTCTATCCTCCATTTTAAAATATCTTATGAGCGTCATGTGACTAAAACTTTGCAAAGTGTCCTTAATATTCACTGTAGCAGAAGGTGTACAGCTTATATTGTTTGAAAACGTTAATTGGTTTTTAATTGATACTGGGTAAAATTCATAATGGGTTAACTATTGTATATAAAGTTTAAAAAAGAAAGAAAAAATCATGGTTTCAAATCAACATATACATATCTTTACAACATCTTTAATTTAAGATATATTTTTCAGCCCTGTAAGCCAAATACAGATGCTATTCATCAAGATTAATGGTAAATACATTCAAAGTGAAATTGACAGGTGCACCTATTAAGACCACTGCTCGGGTGTATGGCATTCCTAAATAATGGACAGTTTTATATGAAATAAAACATAATTTTAAGTTTTCACGATGTTGTTTCATTGCAGGTTTGCTCATTAAAAATATTCTTTTGCTGTTCACATTACATTACAGTGAAATATCCTTTCAAAATAACTACCCAATGAAAAGGCGTCATTTCATATGACTGTAAACAGCAATGGATGCCTCCACGGTCTGTTTACTCAAGTACAAAACTTAACTGATTTTGAATTTTTACAAACATAAAAATGGTTTGCAGTGATAAACAACATGCCATAGTAACTTTATATTGTATATTATTTAATGATCAAGTTCAATATAAAAAATTGCACTTGTTAAACAGCTTAAGGGCGTCAAAACTAATGACTCTAGGATATACACAACTTTCAATATTTCTTTCAATTAGGAAGATGTGGTTCAACTATAATGATTCTTCTTGAATGACTGGCTTAAAACCCCTCAATTATTATAAAATAGATACACTCCTGTTATTAAGAATTCAGAGTTCACAAATACTTCATATAAAATTTACAGTACTTAAAGTTATTTACATTATTTTACATTTACATTAACATTCTTTTGTTCTATTTTTAGGTTGCTAAGACGTTCCCTTTTGCTGCTGGGGCTTTTGTTTCAGGGCACACATGTTACACCGTCTACAAACAAGTATTCTTTGTAGAGAATGAATGCATAAAAAGCTCATACTATGGAAACCTTACAACTCCATTTGATCCTCACACAGAGAAAGCTATAGATGCGGTATTACATTCAAATATATTGTATCCCAAATTTTACTTGTATCTTTAAGTTTTGTATCTTTAAGTTTACAGTGCTTATGACTGGTTATATGATCAATGGCTGTCTGACATCCTTAACTTGTTTAAGCTGCATAATAGAAGCTTCATTTTTGATATCATTAAAGACACTCCACTGAGATTATTTGACATGTAGGGACTTGAAATAATTTTTCGAGATAATCTACCATTTGGTGAAGGTAAAGACTGACACATTGTTTGCAAAATTCCAAAAAAATTTGGCACTCTATTTTTTCAAGATTAGTCATTTTAAATGTGAAAAATTACTCTCAATTATGCATTCGAATAGAATCTTAATATCAATGAAAAGCATATACATGTGTATTTTGGTTTGTTGTCATAGCGTTTCAGCACAATATCTTAAATTCTTAATACTCTTATAGAACGTTTTTGCAACAATGAGAACTAAAGCAAAATTTTGCGTAGAAAATGCCGAAAATATTAGACAATAATTCATAATTACACTCATTTGTAAACTTGAGAAAACAGTCTAAATTTGCGGTGTGAATAGTCAATAGTGAATCCTTTTATTGGTAAAATTTGCTTATTTCCAGTCAACTGTTTATCAAAGATAATTATCACCTCGTGTTATATCTGGTAATTACTTGTACAGCACGTGTATACATTAGTCTGATCTCTCTCGCGTGATAATGATCGAAAGCGTTATTGCTGATTGGCTAATCGCTTCACTGGTCAATGTGCATAGCCTACCTATAGACTGACACTTACTGACATATTTGTGGTTGTAAACAATCAGTAATGTTTATGCTTCCCCAGGCAAAATTAAGCGTACGTGGCATCCTTAATCTGAAATATTTGCGTCCAGCTGTAATAAACATGTATACCTGCATGCAGAAATAAGCGTCACCGAGAACCCTGTCAATAATTGAAAAGCTCAAATCCGGCTATGAATAGCACAAAAATAAAATTTACAATTTATTTCTGTGTATATTTGCTAATTATCTTTTGCATATCTGACTGCTTTAAATGTCCAAGATTGTCCATGTAAAAAATTCAAATTTTATGTTTTTAGGCTTTTGGACATTCTTTAATTGAATCAAATTTGCAAAGAACCTGTATTATAAGTTGAAATAATGCACAGAGGGGTACCTGAGGTCTTCATTTACCTGTTAAGCTGTTAAGTCAACATACAAACTTTAGTAGTACAGGCATAAAACCACGGCTTTAATTACAGTCATAATAAAACCCAATAATCAAACAAACAAACAAAAATCAAGTTGATCTAAGTTTGCTTGCCTTACACCATCCTGTAATTAATACAGAGGGGTGGCAACTGATTATTATTTGACATGTACAGTAGCATACATATTTTGTTAATACAGTTGCATATTTGCAAACAACCATTTATATAAGGCCAAAATCTTTACAACTAACAATACACATGTATATACAATTGCCTTATTGGTCCGATGTTAAACAGTCTATTTATGATAGCCAGTGTCATATTTCTACAATAAAGCAGGATTAATTATACAATGCTGACTATCATTATGGAATCAAAAGGGAACATATTAAGAAAAAATGTCCAATATAACAGGGAGTCTATTGCTTTCGGTCTCAAAGATGGACAGAGAAGATACAGTGTTGTTGTATACAAGAGGTTGTTTGAGAATGTCTGAACCTGACTATTTAATGTACTAATAGATTTTGCAAGGTTCTGTTTTCGAAAAATTTATTGATTACATGACAATTTAAATAGGTGTAAGTGATGCCATTTCAAAAACCTTTTTGATTCTAAATTTTGACCCAACTCTGATATCATATGTGGCAATGTCAAGCTACCTTAGTGTACTGATTATGGGAGGAATTGCTATGGACAGTTTTTGTTTTGACATTAGAATTGTGCTTCCAAATGTATAAATGAATACAATGTATGATGTATAGATAATAGTACTTCTATTTTTTCATTAAACACCTAAAAAGATGTTTTGTACATACATGTATAGTATTTTATATGAAACCCCAAAACATTCGTATTATTTTAATTGCTTATCATGTACAAAGATTAAATTCTTGTTCTGAAGTAATTAATTGGCATCAAACTATAGTACTTTGTATATGTTATGCATATTGTTCTTGATACGAAATTACAACATAAGAAGGTAATTGATTGCCGTCCAATAAAAACTGATACAAGAAGCAGAGACAGGCCTTTATTTGACCTTTTTGACTACCTTCATCCAGGGGTAACTTTATAGAAACAAATGACTTTAGGATGATGGATAATATGCATACAAATAAATTTTTATGTGATAAAAGGGATAATTACTGACATTATAAGGATTTTATTTCTTCATTTCAGGTTTTTGATAAATTAGTGTTTGTAGCCTCGGGAAAACAGTGTGCTTTGACACAGTTTTACTGGTCTAACAAAGCTACAGTACAGCATAGAGGAAGTACTTTGTCAAGATTCGGAACATACGTTGGTAAAAACATTAATTTTGTAATTTGCTTTTCATAGTTCTGTACCTTCTTTTCATAGTGTTCGGCACCCTAGCACAAAGTGCTCAGTGAGGTAGCTTTTGTTAAGGTCAGATGTCTGCTGTCAGTTTTGTTTTTCTATTCATAATTTCTGGTCAAAACAAAAATTCTTCCAGAACACATGGACAATTTTGACAGCACTTTACAGGAATGATCCTTTAGTTGTTTTGCTCATAGTAAATGCGATCAGGTCAGATTAAGAAATTAAAAATCTTATCTAAAACAAGTGTACATGTTATGATATGATGTATATGATATAAATGAAGACAAACTACTATTTAGTATTATACATTCAAGCATATTAATGGCATAACTGAAAATTCATGCAAATACTCATTCTACCCAAGAGCTACAATGTAATTCCCTACCAACCGAGAGCTGTCCTACTCCCCCAGTGGAGGCAACCATATTCTGATTAAAGTTTTTACGAAGTAAACTTAGTAAACTTATCCGCGCAGTCTGATCAGGATCCATGCTGTTCGCTTACAAACGGTTGCCCTATTAAAAGTAGAGAAAGTGATAGCGAACAGCATGGATCCTGATCAGACTACGCAGATGCGCAGGCTTGTCTGGATCCATGCTGGTCGCAAACCCACTATGTTGGTTTTGTTGTGACGCGGCTCATTTATTTTTAAGGTATTTCCTTCAAACTTGAATGTTTCTCATCATCAGCCACATCATAATTATTTGACAAGGATATGTGACAACACTAACACCAAAATTATCAGAATTACCCCCCTTGAACTCAGAATTTTCATGAAGACGTGTTGTTTTTTATTTGAAATTTCTTTATTTCTTAATGTATCTTCTTCAAACTTCAAATATGTTTCTTATCACCCATATCATATGTGGCAAGGTTCATAATTCTAGCACCTATCTTATTATAATTATCATCCTTAAACTTAGAATTTTCATGAAAAAATGTTGTTTGTTTTCTATAACTTCGAGTATATATTCTTTATGATCACTCAAATTATGTGGAGGAAGATTCAGTACTCTAGCTTGACTATTTCCAGAATGATTTATGTCTTAAACTTTGAATTTTTCTTAGTTGTTCTATAGTTTTCTTATTTCTTCATGGATTTACTTAAAATTATAAATCAACACCTACATAATTTGTGATTAGATTTAAACGTCTAGTACCTGGGTTTTTATGATTATTTTCATTTTGAACTTTGATGTTTATTTGAACATTGTTCTATATATAGAGGATATTTGTTTAGTTCAGTGTAAGATCGGAATATATTTCACCGAGTGAGCACCAAAAGGTATATTTCACGAGTGGCGCAGCCAACACTTTTGGTGTTCACAAGGGGAAATATATTTCGATCTTACACTAAACTAAACAAATTTTCTTTTTCGTTACTCACATTGTTTATAAGTGTGGCATTTTTATTTCGAGAGTTATCTTCTCTTTAGTTTAAGAATTTTGCTTTTAAACAACTAGAGATGTTTAAAAATTTACACTATGTCTGTCCGCCTGTCCATCCGTCCCTAAAAACTGTTTCCTGAGATCACTTTTAAAGTGTTGGTACTTTTCCAACAAATTTTCTTAAAATAGAGAAAAGTATATACATTAGTTATATATTATCATCCTCTCTGAATATCTGTTGTAGAATGTTGCCGGAATTCTAAACAGTAGGGAACTTTTGTATTGACTGCAATATTGTTATAATTTGCACTTTGATAATTTTGGTAATTTACTTTTACTACTTGAAAAAAGGCCAGACATGTTTTGTCTGTAATTATTAACATCTTCATAAAATCTTCAATCATCAAGAAGCACATTTAAGACTAATAAAAAGGGAAAATTATACATTTTTATTTTTTATAATGTTTTCATGGTGATTTAAATGTGTTAGATGCTATTCAGCTGAAGAAAGTAGCAAAGCATGTGCAGTTAATTGTCATAAAAGTAGCAAAATGTAAAATATAAAGTAAACTTCCACACAATATAAGTATTAACTGTACTAATAATAGTACTTGCTAAAGAGCAAAAAAATGAATAGACGGTTCATATGTATTGCTAATAAGAAATGTTTTGGAAACTTTAAAAGGGAACAAAAATAAAAAAAAGTTTGTGAAATAAAAAAGATTTATCACATACCTGTGCCGCTTTAATGACTCCGTAAAAATGGTATTGCAGGGCCGTGCATATATTTGACGTGACATCATTTTCGTTATATAAACATAGCGTAAAGACACACTAAATATAAGCATTATACTATAGGCGCGTCAATGAAAAATGGTTCTTTTTCACTTCAAGCGGTCTTTATTTTTTTAATGTGATAAATAGAAAATTAAATTTGTGTGAGTTTAATGATAAATTTATTGAACTCGTTGAATAAGATAATATTATGCTCGCCTCTATATTTTTTTTTGGACCTAATGGTCATTTAAGGTAAAAAATTGTCACACTCAAGAGTAACTGTTCCATTGATTCATGCAGAAAAATAGCTTTAAATTGTCTCTGGAATATCAAAGTGCAGATTTTAGATACTTATCATATAAGCTGACCAAGAGGTTCTAAGTTGACTAGGACTTTTAATTTAATGTTAGTATTTAAACTTCAGACTATTTAAATTTACAGCAGGGCTAATCTTAAAATAAGTGTCTTATCAATTTAAAATCTAAATGTTCTCATATAAAATATTCTTTTCTTGTTTTCAGGTGTACCCATTCACTATAAGTACCAGGATCCATCAGAAGTAGATCTCTCAGATCTGGAAAGCAGTTTTGAATGCAGTGAAAAGAGTTCGGAACTCTTACAAAGACTCAAAGAATCCCTTGTGCTAAGTGAGAATGCCAAAAAGTTTGCACTTGCTTCAGAATTTTTAAATGCTCATTCTTTTGAACTTCCAGTGCGATGTAATGGCATAGTGTTTTTTATTCTAGCATATGCAATCCTTCAGAATCCTTTAGCCGGGGCAGTTACATATGGAACTCCTCAACAGGTACTTGCCATCTTTGTAGCACTGGCATCTTCTCTTTTTATTGTTCACTATATTACAAGTAGAACTTACTTCAAGTATGTGCGAGTATCATCAGATAGAAAAGTTGCAAAGTTTGGAGATGATTTCTTAAAAGGCGGAATAGAATATTTTGAAAAGTTGGCAGAGAAAAACAAAGTGTTAAGAGAATTAGATCCCAAAACTTCGGGATATTTGTTTGAACCAAATGGTGATGAAGTTAAAAGTATCATTAATTTTGGTAATGTGGCAATAAGTGATAGATTAACTTGTTTACAGAAAATTGACAAGGAGATACAAGAGACCAAAGATTTAACCCCAGAGAATTCTGAAGATACAACTTCATAGAAAAACAAACAAACTGTGTTTATTTTAGAAAAATTTTAATATTTGAAGTAAATAAAATATAATCTGTTTCTTATAATTGCTTATTGTATATTTTATCATGATGTGTTTTTAAGCTCAACTTTTTTTTTGAAGAAAAAAAGAAGAAGTATTAAGAAGAAGTCATTTCCTTCCCCAAAACTTTTATGTTGGTGCTTTGTCTATATACTAGATCACAACAACCCTTGGGGTAGATCAGATTTAACTTGACCTTCATTCATAAATAACCTTGACCTTCAGGTCAAATGTCTAAACTTTGCTTGATTTTTGCTGATTTTTGTGTCGCCTTGAAAAACGCGACATATAGGGGTTAGTTTTGTTGGTGGTGTCAGCGGCAGTGGTGTTCCCTTAGGCTTGTCTGGAGCATATCTCAGTCATGATATGTCAGATTGACTCCAGACTTGGTATGCATGCTTCTTTCAATGACTTGAAGTGCAGTGCACAAGAATCATCGCTCTGCACTTCTTATTATATGCCTGAAAGGGCATATTATGTTATACCCCCTGGCGTCCGTCTGTCTGTTAGTAATTTGCTTTCGGAGCATAACTTGAGTTACATTTGGCCCACAATATTCAAACTTCATAGAATGATTGTCCATATTGGGTAGAAGACCCCTATTGATTTTGGGGCCAAAAGGCCAAAGGTCAAGGTCACTATTACCTTAAAACTGAAAACAGTTTCTTGAGCATAATTTAAGTTCAATTTGACCCACAATATTCAAACTTCATAGGATGATTGTCCATATTGGGTAGAAGAGCCCTATTGATTTTGGAGTCACAGGGTCAAGGTCACTATTACCTTAATACTGAAAACATTTTCCGCTCAATAACTTAAGTATTAATCAACCTACAGCTGTAAAATTGTATAGGATGAACAGCTAATTCCCATGTCTTACAAATGCTTCATCCTTACTAAAAAAAACACTTTTGGGCATATAATGCTCCGCCTAGCGGTGCTCTTGTTATTTTAAGAAACTTTGTTAATTTTTGTGTCGCCCTGAAAAAGGCAACATATAGGGGTTACTTTTGTTGGCGGTGTCGGTGTCCCCTTAAGCTTGTCCGGAGCATAAGTCAGTCATTATAAGTTGGATTGACTTCTAACTTGGTATGCATGCTTGTTATAATGACTCGAAGTGCAGTGCACAAGAACCGGTACTCTGCACTTCTTAATTTTTGAGTTATTGCCCTTTGTTAATTTTCATACTTTATTTTTGTCCGGGCCATTTCTCTTAAAGTATAAAAGCTATGGACTTGAAACTTCATAGGATGATAGATCTCATTAAGAAAAAGTGCAGTGCACAAGAACTGGTACTCTGCATTTCTTATTTTTGAGTTATTCCCCTTTGTTAATTTTCATTCTTTATTTCATAGGATAATAGATCTTATTGATAAGAAGTGCAATGCACAGAAACTGCTGCTCTGCACTTATTTTTTGAGTTTTTGCCCTTTGTTAATTTTCATATTTCATTTTTGTCCTGGCCATTTCTCCTAAACTATATTGTTCATAAGGCGACACATCCAACTCGCGGAGTTCTAGTTATATTTTATTTTTGTCCGGGCCATTTTTCCTAAACTATAAAAGCTACAGACATGAAACTTCATGTGATGAAAGATCTCATTGAGAAGAGGTGCAGTTAACATAAATCAGTACTCTGTGCTTTATGATTTTTAACCAGATTTTCAATGAAAACGGGTTATTGAAATGCTGGAAGTCGGCGGGCAGGCGACTGGGTGGGTAGGCGTCGACTTTTGGTTTCTGCTCATTGACATGAGTTTGGTTTGACCTATTTATGCCAAACTTGGTGTTATATCAAGAGACATCTTGGGATGATTGCTACAGGTGTCTGTGGTCAAGGTAAAGGTCAATGTTGCTAAAATAGAAATTCAGTTTCCGCTCAATTAGTTGAGTTTGTTAGGTGTATTGACACTTAACTTGATGTATGGGGAGCTTATATCAAGAGGTCACTTATAGGTTGCTAAAAATAAAAATTCAGTTTCCGCTCAATAACTTGAGTTTGCTTGGGCCTATTAACATCGAACTTTGTGTATTGGTAGCCTTTATCAAGATGCAGCTTGGGATTGTTACCCATTATTGAAACCAGCTTTCTGTGTTGGTACAAAAAAGCATCACTGCCAAACATTATTCCCAATTTATGTCACATTAATACTTGATCGTTGTAAACCTGGTTTTTGTCACATTGTGGTGATTCTTATTGAGTAATTGCCCTTTGTTAATCTTCATATTTTATTTTTGTCTGGGCCAATTCTCCTACACTTTAAAAGCTATTTACTTGAAACTTCATAGGATGATGGATCTCATTAAGAAGAAGTGCAATGCACAAGAACAGCAAATCAGATGTGCCGCTTGATATTATAGTTTTTTATTCCACCGCAGCATCTGCGATGAGGTGGCATATAGCGATTCACCTGTGTGTCTGTGTGTTTTGTATGTGTGTTATATAGATTATATGGTGAACTTAAAAAATCTTCTTGTAAAAGACCACTTATCCAATTTCAACCAAACTTGGCAGGATTGATCCTTGGGTGAAGGGCTTCCAAAGTTGTTCAAAGAATTTCATTCCATGCAGAAATCTGGTTTCCATGGCAACCAAAAGGAATTATAAGAATAAATTAAAAAAATCTTCTTGTAAAGACTCACAAGGCCTAGAGCATAGATATTTTGCATAAGGCATTATCTGGTAGACCTCTACCAAGATTGTTCAAATTATAGCCCTGGGGTCAAAATTGGTCCCACCCCGGGGTCATTGATTTTCATTATATGTACATATAGTAAAAACTTAAAATGCCTTCTTGGCTGAAGGTACAAGGCTTAGAGCTTTGATACTTGGTATATGATATCATCTATAGGTACTCTACCAAAGTTGTTCAAATTTTACCTCTAGCGTCAAAATAAGCCCCGCCCCGGGGGTCATAATTTTTCCTTATATGTATATAGTTAAAACTTAAAAAATCATCTTCTCTAAATTGACAAAGGCTAGAGATTAGATATTTTGCATGAAACATTGTGTAGTGAACCTCTACCAAGATTGTTTAAATTATAGCCCTGGGGTCAAAATTGGCCCTGCTCCGGGGGTCATTGATTTTCATTATATGTACGTATAGTAAAAACTTAAAACACCTTCTTGTCTGAAGGTACAAGGCTTAGAGCTTTGATATTTGGTATATGATATCATCTTTAGGTACTCTACCAAAGTTGTTCAAATTTTGCCTTTAGTGTCAAAATTAGCTTCGCCCCGGGGGTCATAGGTTTTTTCCTTACATGTTATAGTAAAAACTTTAAAAAATCATCTTCTCTGATTGACAAAGGCTAGAGGTCAGATATTTTGCATGAAAAATTGTGTAGTGAACCTCTTGCAAGATTGTTCAAATTATAGCCTGGGGTCAAAATTGGCCCCGCCCCGGGGGTCATTGCTTTTTAGTTACTATGTCATTAAGTAAAAAAAAAAAGAGAAAATAACAACATTTTTTAATAAAGCGAATGAAATTGATTGCATCCGTTCTTTGAATTTAAGTGTGTTCGGTCGATTGTAATATTAACTTGGAATTAGACATCTCCTACTTAGACAAAAGAAAGGGCATATATATATATATAGTGGAATTCATCGGCAATATCATTTTGATTACATAAAGTGCCTTTCCTTTGATCATGTTCTACAAAAGACTGGTACCATCTGCCATTTTCGACTGGTAACCGGTTCTAAAATGAAATATAAATGAATAAAAAAATACGTTGGTAATATGGCAAAAGTTTTAAGTAAGGTTCGAAAATTGGTGCATCTTTATATATCATATAGTTTCTTCCTTTAGATGAATAAACCGGACCATGTTTGATAAAACTGTTCCATTAGGCTCCTTTTAATTTTCTTGTGAATATTTCTATTTTATATTAGTGGTTTAACCTAAGACAGGTATTACCAGTATCATCGAGTATATTCTGTACAAGACAAACTTTATTTATAGTTGGTAATGGCTAATAGTACAAAACATAAGCTCTAACCTTGTATCCGACATTAACAAAAGGTGAAAATAATAAGGAATGAAAATAAAGAAAAACCTTTTAAGATAATAATACATACAATTAATTCATATTGTCATTGTTATGAAATCAGAGCATTTACAATGAAAAGACAGTCATGTGTAATGAAGATGGGATGACAGGGTTTTACATATATAAATGTACATTGTACATAATTCAAGGAAAAGATAACTAAAATTATTTACAAGCAAAACATGAATTAAGTGAAATAAAACATGAACTGGAAAAGATTAGATGCACATAGAGCAGGCACACTTGTCATTGCTCCATGTTTCAATTATAGTCGTTTAAACTCATTGAAGTCAGATGTGCATCTAAGATCATTAGGTAAACTATTCCAGATTTTAGATGCTTCAAAGCGAAAACTCTTTTTTTACCTTACTTGGTTAAGTGTACTTCTAATGTTTTTTGGTATCTAAAATTATAATTTGACGAACGCACATTAACAAGTTCTTGAATATACTTAGATGAAATAGTCACAGGGTGAGAAAAATGTGCAGCTTGATCGGGACGCGAACCCGGGACCTTCGGAATACCGGACCAAGGTTCTACCGACTGAGCTATCCGGCCGCTTACACATCTTCTCCCCTAAATAGTGAACAGTTCTGAACCGTGACAAACTCCCCTACTATATTGAATTTCTTCCTCGAATTTCACACAGTTACAGAGCAATATAAAATAAACTCTTAGCTATATGCAGTCACGGCCCAACGTTGGGCGCCAAATGTCACAGGGTGAGAAAAATCATAGGAACTCTGGAACAGGACTGCATATTGCGGCGCATAAATCCGAATCCGTACCGACTTTACATATTGTTTGTCCGATCTTTGAATATCTTTTCATAATATGCGAGCGGGCGGTCTTTAATTATCTAATCTCAATTTAATATAATCTGCTAATTTAAAAATCAGTCAAATTTACGGTATATTTTTTTATAATACCGTAAAATTTGACCAGTTTTAAAAAACATGTGATGCATTGGTG